AAAAAAACCACCCAAATGTAAAGGAAATAGGACAAGGATCTGAATATACGGACCACTGGCCATGGAAGTGTTAAACCAGTCACTCACTTGGAGCATATTAAATACACTTCTTGGAACATGAAATATACTTCCTATCAGCTAAAATATAGTTCATCAATGTAATTGTTACTTGGGGACCTTATTTTAAATCAGGTTAAACTCTAACATACTGTCAGTATCCTCCTCCTAATATGAGCTAACTCCTAATCTTAACATGATCATGCAAACCTATCAAAATGTGACTATCAGACCATTAGGGAAAATTGGTAGTTTATACCAATTTAGAAGAGCCTGAGAAAATAGCAACTAATAAGTATTTTTCTTTATCAAATTAATTTTTAAACCTATGTAGAGAAGGAGCTCTGGTAGCGCAGTGGTTACAAGTCGGGCTCTTAACCTCACGGTCAGCAGTTTGAAACAAACAGCAGTTTTGCAGAAAAAAGCTGAGGCTTTCTGCTCCCGTAAAGATTTAAGAGCTCGGAAACCCTATACAGGGTGGCTATGAATCAGAACCGACTCCATGGCACACCACCACAAAGACAGAGAAAGCTATTGGATAAGGAAGGCACAGTAAGCATGCGGCACCATCAACTGCCCTCACCCCCTGTGGGAAATACCGGAGGGCTCTGACAAGTTAAATAAAGTTTGTATAGGGTCAGAATTCAAACCCAGCCACTAAGAATTCCAACTCACACTACCACCAAATTTTAGGAGATACTTGGTAAGTAGTAAATCTAGAATGTTTTGATACTGTTTTTAAATTTAGTTTCTTTTGGTAAATACGTAACAAAGCATTTACCAATTCAATAGTTTCTTCATGTAGAATTCACTAACACTGGTCACAGTCACGATGTGCAGCTGTCTGTCACACCATCCTTATTTCCAAATTGCTCGCCATTAGCAGAAACTCGGTGCTCCCCTCTCATCCTGGTACCAAAACTCAAACCAAACCTACACCATGGAATTTATTCTGACTCATAGGGATGCTAGTAGTGTAGTGGTTATGAATTGGGCTGCTAACTTCAAGGTCAGCAGTTCAAAACTACCAGCCGTACTGCGGGAGAAAGATAAGGTTTTCTGCTCCTATAAAGATTTACAGCTTTAGAAACCCTGTGAAGGGTCACTATGGCTCAGAACTGACTCTGGTACTTAACAACATAGGGACGCTAAAGGGCCAACAACTGCTCCATAGGGTTTCTGAGGCCATAAGTCTTTTAAGGAAGCAAGCTGTGTCATTGTTCCCCCTTTTGGTAAACACCACACTTAGCTGTGTCTGGGAAACTTTGGTCTCTACATTTGTGTAACTCAAAAAAGTGGGATGGTACATTTGTCTTATGTGACTTCACTCAGCATGGTATTTTCAAGGTTTATCCATGTTTTAGCCTGTGTCAGAAGGGCATTTCCTTTATGGCTGAGTAATACTTGATCGTGTGTGTACACTACATTTTATGTATCCATTCATCTGTTTATGGACACCTGAGTTGTTTCCACCTTTTTTAGTTACTGTCAACAGTGCTGCAATGAATAAGTTCTGTTTACGCTCCTGCTTTGAGTTCATTTGGGTATATACCTAGGATTGGGATTGCTGGGCCATGGTGTGCCAGAAGAACCAGCACATCTGATTTGGAAGAAGCACAGCCAGAGTGCTGAGAAGCGAGGATGTCGAGACAATGTATTCTGCACTTTAGACAGGTCACCAAAAGGGATCTGTTCCTGGACATGTTGTGTGTCACCCAGTCAGTTCTGATTCATAGCGACCCTGTAGCGAGTTTCCCAGAGTTGCTAGTGGATTTGAACCACCAACCTTGCAGTCACAAGTCTAGTGCTTATCCTGGAGTGTCACACTAGGGTCCCAGTCCCTGGACATTGTGCTTGGTAGAGGGTCAGTGAAACAAAGGAAGACTCAAAACAAAAGTATTGACGCAATGGCTCTAAGAAGGGCACAGGCAATGCGTCATTCAGTTGTATATACAGAATCCATGAGATGGAACTAACGTGACAGCACCAGACAACCTGGTGAGGAAGCTCCAAACTTTTCATAACACTGTTTGCATTTCCCCATTCATTAACGCAGTACTTTTCATTTTGTTTTTTATAACTCGTAGCCATACATCCTAGTGGGAGGTAAGGTGGTATATCTCACTGTACTTTTGTGTCAGAATTCACTCAACAACAGTGGGTCTGGTATGGTTTTGTCAAGTAACCTTGGGTTACTTGAGCCTGGGTAGGACAAATGTGAGCGAACTGAAAGATTGGAGCTTACAATCCACCCGAGGCTCCTCAGAAGGCAGGCTTATCCTGGAATAAAAACCAAGCACTTTGAAAACCCTGGTCCACCACGAGTCACAACTCAGCAGCAACTGGCTTCATTGATGGTTTTTGTTGCTAGCTGCTGTCAAGTAGGTTGACTCTTGGCATTCCCATACACAATTTAACTGCAGATAGTTGTTATGTGCCATCGAGTCAGTTCCGACTCATAATGACCCTGCAGAAGGTTTCCAAGGGGCGGCTGGACAGTTTGAACTGCTGACACTGTGGTCCAGTTCTTATCCCACATTGCCACACCAGGACTCCATTAAACTTCATACTAAAATTAAAATCACTCTGGAAAAAGTATCCCCCAAATCATCATTAACTTACTATGTCACCTGGATAGCCATCTCCCATAAACTCTTCTTAAGAAGACACCAAAGAGTAAGGCATGGAAAGGAGAAAGTACTCATGATAGCAATTTAAGAAAAAAACCTTATGGTGTGGCACCATAGGATGAGCACTTCAGTTTGAACAAAAGGTCAGCGGTTCAAACTCACCAGCCACTCCTTGGAAATTCTATACAGGGTTGCTATGAGTCGGAACTGACTCGACGACACTTAATAAAACAAACATCATTCCTTGAGGCCAAAATATGAATAAGACTTAGAGAAGAAATAGTTAGCAAACATTAAAATGTCAACCTTACTATAGTCATCATACAAAATTCACCTATTTTATAGTTAAATTAGCAAATGGACAAAACACAGTTTTTGATCTAAGAGCTTTCCAGAGAAGGAAATAATCCCAAGAATATAATCATAAAAATGTTCATAGGTTATTTAAATAGCCAAATCAAATAGACAACATATATGCAGAAAATGGGCTAAAATTATAATGTATCCTCAGAGTACCTACCAAGAATGGTTTTTCTTTTTTTTGAGAATATTAAAATGGTGAACTGCTCAAAATGATGATGTGCTGGGTGGAAGTGTGGGTATATAATTTATATGATCCTGATTTTTTCAATATAAATGTGTATGAACACATACAGAAGACTGGAAGGATGTGAGCACGGTGACACAAACCTTGTCTGTCCTTTTATGATTTCCAAAATCTATACAATGAGCAGGAGTCCTGGTGTGGCGCTGTGGGCTAATGCGTCAGACTGCAAAGTCATTTGAACCGCAAGGTTGGTGGTTCAAGCGCACCAGCTTCTCCTTGGAAACCCTATGCAAGGTCGCTATGGGTTGGAATCGACTCGATGGCACTTATACAACAATACAATGAGCATGTTTTATAATTAGAAAAACATTTTCCAAAGTTTAAACCACAAAATGATATACGTCTGCAAATATACCCAGTATATTAAATGAAGTTAATTACTGAGATAATAAAGCAGTATGACAAACCCAAGATTTAACTCATTAATAAAATTTAAAAAGTAAATATTTGAGTGCTTGCCCTATTAAGTTCCTGGTACTGCTTTAAGTGCTGTAGATACAGCAATGATTAAGACAAATCCTTGCTTAAATTCTGGTGGGAGAGAGTTCATAAATATTTCAGAAAACATATACTATGAAGATAATAATTACATATGAAGAGTAAGTGGTCATTTAAACTTGAACCAAAACTATCCCATGAAGTTAAGTTTAAACAATTTAGCTCAATTAATAATGAATGTTTACCTTGAACATTACACTTGTTTAAAAAACAAGAGATCAAATAGCCCTAAAGCACAGATGAGAGTTTTAAGGGAGAGAGTCTAAGTTAACAGTGCTGAAACATGAGTTTCACAAGTGATCACTTAGGAATAGCAACACACATGAAGTATTTGTCCATGTATGTTAGAAGCGTGATGACTGCACTGCCCAGTACCGGTTCCTCATCCTCACAAGGAAGCTAGGCACCAAGGAGGGAGGAAAAGAGCTACTTTTCTAAACAGGCATTCTAACAAGACGCCTGATTTATGGTTGAACCACCACAGAAAACAAGGCTTATACAGGAAGAGACGGCCACCTTCTTTCATGACACTGGTTACAGAACTCAACTTTCTTATCTAGGACTGGTGGTGGAATAAGGGGGAAATTCAAATTCATTGTTAACTGACTTTCTAGTGTTAGGATATCGATAGGAACCCCACAGAATAAAATGATCTTTGGCCATTCAGAAGGCATTTCAAAATCTTGCCCTGTACTTCCCAGAGTAACTAGTCACAAGTAACAGTATGCTGCTGATTAAAGGTATAATAACAGTAGCTAACATTTGATGAGTGCTCATTTTGTGCAAAGCAATGTTCTAAGTAACTTATTTGTACCCCAATTTACCCTGAGCTAACTACTATTATTAACCCCACAAGTTCAGGAAACAGGGCCTGAGATCATACACAGGACCTGATGAGTGTTGTCTCAACCAGGCCCACTACCCAGACACAATCGGGCTCCAAACCACTAGGCTATCCAATACAAAATGAACTCACTTTGACCATTTTCTTTTTTATTTTCAAGAGGAAAAAGAGGAGTTGCTGCTGACAGTTAAGGATAAAAGAAGACTGTAATCCAAACACTGGTCTGAAACCCATTCTTTCACTTTATAGCTTATCTAAACTCTTCCAATGATGGGCTTTACTTTCTGCTATATGGTCAAAAGTGCAGAATGGAACAGGAAATAACTCTGGATTTTCAAACTTAAGAGAAAGCAGACACATTAAGTTTTTAATTTGCCAGATATTCTTTTAATGAGAATTATAAAAGACAAAAACATTTTTTTTTTGCAAACTATTTTTTTAAACAAATGATTTGCTTTTAATTACAAATACTGTGTGAGACACTGCCTTCTTTTGCAAAACCAATAAATACAACAAATTTTTAACATGTGATTTATCCAAGATACTTGTCAAAGGGAAAAAAAAAAAAGGCCTGATTTTTTTTTTATTCAGTACTTTAAAAAAAATAAAAATAAAAATAAAAATTTATTCCCTAACCTTTCACACAATAAATTTGAAGGTATGACTCAAATGGAAAAGAGACTAAGACTATATTATATCTGCTTTAAATAGCTTTTGATAATTCTTCCAATGTTACCTTTCTGGAATTATCATTTTCACAAAATAGCGGTATTTAAAATATTTCTAATGAACTGATGAATGGGGGGAAAAAAACATCAAATACATATGTATAAACTTCACCATAAACAATTATGCATATCAAAAGACTCTAACTTTAAAAAGGTACAAAAAAAAGTGAGGAAAAACCTGAATTACAGAAAAGAAAGTAAAATTTATTTAATGAAAAACTAGAATTAATAAAAATTAACACACACACACAAAAACAACCCAGCAGCACTATGTAGTGACTCACAAAGGGCTCGGAAAGCAGTGGTTCAAGACCACTCCACATGGCTTGTCAGTTAAAGAGGGAGGGGAAAAAACCAAACATACACACATGCACGCACACACATCAAAAACAAAACAAAACAAAAAAACCATTTTCAACAGTACAATCGATCTACAACAAATACAAATTCAGAATTATTTTACAATGCTTCCTGCAGAATCAACTTTCTTAATACAAAAGATGCCCATTTTGGGAGTATATATATATATATATTTTTTGTTTTTTTCAGTGGTTTACTGTTGACTTATTTTTAAATATATTAGCGTTACTACATGCAACTGTTTCCTGTATTAACAGCTTTCCTTTTATTTACCTTCACGTGTCTAGCTTCCACCTACCAGTTTCAGGTTGGCAAGCTGATGGGTGCCTTTTTCTCCGTGAAACTGAATGCAACAGTTTTAAACACTGGCCAGAAAATGTTTGACTGCCATTTCAACACATGGAAATAGTTACATTGATACCTAAATTGCCATTTTCTGCAAAAAGCTGTGCAATGCTGGTGTCAAAGACTAAGCAGTCACTATTCATAATGGCTGTTGCAATTCCCTCATGAATAGATCGAGGAGTCGCTTCCCAAGTCAATCGCCGCCTATGACCATTTAGCTCAAGTCGATAAGCAAAATTTTCAGCTTGCTTGCGTGTTCCTATCAGCTGTACAATTGCGAAAAACTGCTGGTGACCATCGTATTTTTCCTGTTTCTCCAAAACCAACATGAAGTGAAAGCCAAAACAGGACTGCATCATCACCCAGTCAACAGCACCAGGAAGGTTAATGTCTGTAGCAAGGAAAACGATATCCTCTCCCTGTAGGGTTGTAATGGACTTGTGTTGATGCATCAGATGGGGCATTACAGCATCCAAAGAGCCTTGCCATTTACAGGAAGCACCAGGGCACGGACAGGAATAAGGCCTAAACTCACAGAGCTCTTCGTGGTCTGCTTTTTCTGTGTGTGGCAGAGTTATTTCACATCCAGATGAGGCATATTTACAAGGGAACAGTACTGAGTTGGCCACTTTCTCCATAGCCAAGTTGCGAATGGATCCCAATGGGCCCCGGCAAGTTGGACAACATGTAAGCTTTGGACGACAGTTGCTACAAACAAGATGGCCACTCTGACATTGAAGAATGGGTGGTAATACATAGTCAAAGCAGACTGGACACTCAAAAAGACTCGCCAAGTCATTGTTGGAGGCGGTTGTGCCTGTCAGGGCAGGCACCCTCTGGGATGGTGTACACTTTGAAGTACCAGTAGGCAATGCTGTAGCAGTCTGACGGCTCATTTCTGTAAACAAGAAAAACAAAGGAAAAATACATAGTTACAATAACTTATTTTACATATCACACATTTATATGCCAGGAAAGTTTTTAGTTTTAAGGACAACAAATAAGGTTAAAAAATAGGAATTTTGATGATTAGAAGTTGCACTTTTGAAAATATTCCAGAATAATTTAGAATTCCCTTTTAAAAAACATTAAAAAGAGTCTTCGTTGCCAGTTCCAAAACCAAGTGGAAAAAGAAATGCTGAAATAGAAACTGAACCAAACTAAAAGGCACCCTCTGCCACCTGTGCAACTTTGTTATTGTTGTCAAGTGCCATCAAATCAGTTCTGATTCACAGCAACACTGTTTAGCGTTTCCGAGGAGTGGTTAGTGGGTTTGAACTGCCGACCCTGTGATTAGCAGTCCAGTACTTATCCTGCAGTGCCACATCAGATCCTGCTTAATCAATTCTCTCAATCTCTTTCTTTCTGAGTCAGCTGCTAATAACTCCAAGGAGTTAAGTCCCATAGCTCAAATGTCAAGACTCTCCAGAATACTGGCAGTAAGTCTTACTAATTGTGAACAGTATTTGTTCTAATGGTGTATTTGTGGGGTGGGAAGAAGCAGTTATGAGAGGAAGTAGCTGCTGCCATCCCATAGTCATCTAAGAAATTAACATTAGCAAAATATTTATTAGTGAATCAGTGCCTCCCTCAGAAAGGAAGAGAAGAAACTAGAGAAAAGGAGAGTTATCCTCAAATGAAATGTCTCAGTCTGGTACTTACGAAAAAGAAAATCATTCTGTACATTCCACATCAAAAAAGAATGTGAAAAAAAGAAGAAAAGCCACAATCCAGTCAATAAAATAAAAGAACCACAGCAGCACAGGGCTCAACTAGTAGAGATTCCTTGCACCCTAGAGCTCACCTGTGACATTGATTATTGTTGTTAAGTGCCGGCGAGTCACTTCCGACCCATAGCAACCCTGCATAGGTTTTCCTAGGAGCGGCTGGTGAGCTTGAACAGCCAAGCTTGATGTTCACACGGACTTTGCAGTCCTGCGCATGAAGTCATAGCACCACATTAGCAGAGCCAGTCCTGGTGTGGCGCTGTAGCTAAGCACTGGGTAGACAAGCAAGATTGATTTGAATTGCAAGGTGGCAAGGTAAGAGTTGATCATGCTGGAAGAAATGATCAACAATTTAAGTATTCAGCTGAAATCAAATCAAAGGTGAGCAAGCACCTTTTCCCAGGAATCTACACCTTTGCAGGGATACAGCATGCCCCTATTTGTATGTGTGTGTGTGTGGGGGGGGGAGAGGAAATAATAAAGAGCTGTCTGCTGACATCTTCCAAGAAAGTAGTAACTCTGTACATCAAGCCACAGTAAATGGAATGTTTGCTTGCAATCATAATTGTTACTGGTATGGCACCGTCAGATAAGAACTGGACTGCTAACCAAAATATCAGTGGTTCAAAATTACCAGCAGTTCCTCAGAAACCCTATGAGTCAGAACAACAACATAATTGTTACTCTACTGCAAAGAATTTAATGTTTCAGAAACAAAGCTAGTTACCAAGTGGGCCATGGAAATTCAATCTGGATCTAGATTATTCAAGTGGTTACCAATCCTTAAAAGGGGTGGCTTCCAAAAGCCGGTGGAAAACATGGAATCAAAAACTACTCTTTGAAGGCCTTCCATGCATTGAATGGAAGGTGTGAGACGCAACAGATCACTGTTACCTACGTGGGGGTATTCTCAAGTGGGAGGGACTCAAGTACCACCGAGTTCCCCGTACCACGGCCCGGTGTACCAGGGGTCCCCTGTCCACACCCAGCTGGAATGCACTACTAGAGCCCTCCCCCTCTGCACACACTCTTTTATGGGTGGATTCTGCCTGTGTCTGAAAAGCTCCTCCCTCCATTTTGTGTCAAAGTCCCCTTCAAGTCACCTGTCTCTGTGCTAGCTGCCCACTAAGTAATGTGCTCATGAAAAGTGATTCCTTGGGGACAGCACAAGCCCAAGCCAGCAAAGGCTTTCACGTTACTAAACCAATACAACCAATCACATTAAAGGGTAGTCAACTCAGTGTGGGTTTAGCATTAAAAGAACGATTATGCAAGACAAACCCTTGACCTAGTAAAACAGGCATTTATTAGGAGTTCAGATTCATGTTTAAATGTATAGTTTTCCAGACCTTTCTTATTTCTATTCAAAAAGAAATAAGTAAAATGTGGCCGGTACACATCTACAACCTTATGACTTTAGGGATTATCAACTTCTTGTTAAGTATCGTGGAGTCGCTGCTGACTCTACCCTGCTTAAGGGTTTCTAAGAAGCGACTGGTGGCTCTGAACTGCAAACCTTTCGATTAGTAGTCAAGTGCTGATCCCACAGTGCCAAACCACGAAGGAGTTCACTGCTAAAAAAGCCTCAAACTCCAAAGGTGGAAGCCAGTTCTCACCCACAGAGCAGCCTCCAGGAGGAACCAAGGGCTCACAGGACAATGCAGCAGAAACCGTGACAGAGCCCAAAGTTTCACTTAAAATGAGATCAACTGACACATCACCACTCACTTAAGTTAGACTGGACCCATCATCTCCTGATGTAAAAGCTCTAATGACTTAAAGCAACTTTTTCACAGTTTAAGCCACCCAGCATCCCAGTCTCTTCATGTCAATACCTTTGTCCTTCTTTGTCCTAGCTGCTGGTAAACAGGCGAGCAAGACTCCCCTCCAGTACAGAAAAAGTAGGGCTGCCTTCCCCGGCATGAGAAGTCAGGCGGCTCATAGCGTTTCCTCAAGAAGCAAAGACCATTTCTAACGGAGGCCCCGCCTGGGCACTTCTGTTTCTAAGCACAGAGGCCTCAAATTCTTGTCAGAGATCAGGTTTTCAAGAAACGAAGGTAAGTGTCCTGCTCCCAGCGCATCAGCTACAGAGGCAAAGAAATGAAGCATTTTCCATCTCAACAAAATAGACCACACCTCCGTGCATGCTCAAATTCGCTTGCGTGTCCAAAAATGGGAGCCTTGGCTGAGCTGTCCGCTGTGCCCTAAACCTTCATCTAGCTGTAAAAGTTTGTCTTCCCCTAAGTCCTTAGCTAGGCTCCCTTCCAGACTGGGTAATAATGGACAGGACTGCAGGGGAGGCCGGCCTAGGCCTGGGAGGAGAAGGTGCGGGGGCCGCAGTGGAAGACCAGCCTGGTACAACCAAGCGCTGGGAACTGCAGTATCCAACACCCGCTCCCTCCCCTCACTCCAAGCTCTGAGCGCGCCTACCCACAACTTGTGTCCAGGGCTGCGGCTGCCTGCCGAGTCTCCTGAGGGCGGGGCCACGCGGGGGTGCGGCCCCAGGAGACGCGCCGAGGCTCCGCCCTCCGGCTCAGCCCCGCTGCACCAACGCCGACCCCGAAGCGACCCTGCACAAAAGTGGCCAGCCCTAGGCCTCAGGCTATGCTGGGCCGGCCTCAGCATTTCTAGAGGTTTCGCTTGAGATCAAAACAAAGAACATCGGCTTTTTCTTATGCGATGTGTGTCCTCAGACTTGGGCCCTCTTCTGCACTATATTATCCAGCTAAATGTGCCAATTCTAAATTGTTACTTATAAAGAGTGAAAGCACTCCCCTTAAGTCATTCAATCACTACCAGGCGCCAAATTACTATATTTCCTCAAGTATAATGCACTCGCCATTTCCACCTGTCCTGGCAACACGTGGGAGAAATCTGAAATTCAATATATGCATTTAACGTGGCAATGCTTTCTCTGCTCACTCCACACCTCATAATTTCATTAAACTGATAACATGACTTAAAATGATATTAAAATGGACTTTAAAGAGTGAACTGTTTCCACGAACTTGTCCCTATGGTGGTGGTGGTTTGTGCCGTGGAGTCAGTTCCCACTCAAAGCGATCATGAATAGGATTTCTGAAGCTGTAAATCTTCACCGGAGCAGAAAGCCTCATCTTTCTCCCAGGGAACTGCTTGCTGGTAGTTTCGAACTGCTGACCTTGAAGTTAGCAACCCCACTCGTAACCACTAAGCTACCAGAGGCTCCTTAATTTGCCACTGTATACACCAGAAAAAACGAAGATAAATGAGGTTGCCTCATTAAGTTTCCTGTAGAGGTTGTTCTGTTGCATTCTTAAACCATAAAGTATACACGAGGGGGCTTCAAAAATTTCGGGCGAAAATTCCAGTATCTTTCAATTCCATTTTTTTCCATGAACTCTTTTATGTCCCCTCTCATATCCTCAACAGCATATGAAACAAAGTTTGTTTTATTGGGGGAGTTAGAAAACAAACCTATAGCACCCCAACCCCACCCCACGAAAAGCCTTTGCAGTGAGAGCAGTACAAACACTTTAAGCAAATTCAACTCCTACTTCAACTCCCAAATTGAGATTGTATTCTCTTCCCACTCTGGGAAAGCCATCTTAAATTGCCTCATTAAACTTACAGTAGCGTGTTTTGTTTTTAAACAAGCATTACCCTTGCCCCAATAAAGTCTGGGGCTTCAGACCGCATTGCATCAGTGAGGCCATGCAAAGGTTTAACCTATCATTACATCATGCTTAGAAAAGTCCTTAAACACAGTAAGAGCTGGTAGTGAGAAGCAATGAACCCTATAAAGTGTAGACTACCCACTTTTCAGCAACAAAATTTCACTCTAATCATCACATCCCCACCATAATCGTGTGTTCAATCACTTCAAACTCTTTAATATTAAGTCTACTGCCGTCAGTCAATTCTGGAGACTGTAAATCATTACAGAAGCAGACAGCTTCAATTTTTCCCCAAGAGCAGCTGGGCAGTTTGAACCACAAAAAAAGTCACTTTTGTATCTATTTTCAGTTATTATTCTCATACACTCAAAGAGAACTATAACTAAAAACAGATACAAAAGTCTGTTCCACAGACAAATGTACTTACTATTATCTGCATTTTTACTTTCTAATATCTATTCATTCCAGGTAAGTCTTAGGGGTAGGGGTATGAGGCAGAAGACATCAAACATGTT